CTTCGGGGCGGTGCTGCTTGGTCGCCCTCCAGGTCAGGGAAGGGCTTCCCCGCCGGCAGGGAAGAAGGGGCGCCCCCCCCGCCGAGAAGCCTCCGCCTACCCCTCTGCAAGACCCAGCGGGCCACCTTTTCAAGTAAACGCCCTCTCCTGCCCCAGCCCCAGCCCCTCGGGCAGCGGCCCCTAAGAGGCAGCGGTGGCATCTGAGCAAGTGCAGTAGGCGGTTCCCGGGCCAAAGGATCAAAGGCCTGCCCTCTTTTGACGCCTGGCAATGCACAGACACGCACACGATTCCCGGAGTGGCTTGCCCTGATGTGCCCTTGCTTGTCCCTGCAGCCCCGGGACTCCCTGCCTTCTCCCATCCCAGTCCCAGCCCCAGTCTGCTGCTTGACTTCTGCGCCCCAATGGGCCACCGTGCTCTGCTTGCTGCAGTTCCACTTCACCTCCCTCCTTCCAGCACTCTTATTCAACAGAGGGAGCGGCACGTGCCTGGCGCTTCCAGAATCTGTGAGAAGGCGCCTGTCCTGCAGAGGGATGCCCTGCCAGGCACCCAGCACCCCAGCACAGGTAGGTCAAGAGTCCTCCCAAAGTCACCCTTTCGTGTTCTCCTCCTCCAGCTTTGGCTATTACCCTCCACACTTGCTTTTTAATGGACTGTTTTGCTTTTTTATTTTGTTTTTATCGGGCATTTTATTACTACTGTGAACAATTTCAAAACAAGTAGTGTCCAGTTCTAAGAAAGGCGCAAAAGGAAAATCCCCCTCAAGTCTGCTAGACTCCTGGATCCTGCCTGGACACTCTTTCTCGGCCGTATAAGGGAAGGAGTTCACACAACCTTTGCTGGGGGTGTGTTTTTGGCTTCCCAGTCTACCCTGCAGCCTTGGGGCTCCATGGGGGTCTCCCACTCCACTCCCAACCAGTTCTCACCTGCTTAGTTCTTTCCAAGGTCAGCCAAAATTGGCATCCTCTACCTCCGGATGTTGAGAGAGGAAAGTGGGGTGGGGTGGGGGGGCATATCCCCGTGAGCTGCTCCACCCTTTCCAAAGGTGTGGGGAGGGTACAGAGGCGGAATGCCTAAGGTGACATCTGTTTGACAGCGGAGCCAGCGAGCCAGAAAGGAAGGCGCTGTGGGTCCCCCTTCGCTGTCTGGGCAGTCATCTCTTC